CTTTCCTTTCCTTTCCTTTCCTTTCCCCTTTCCTTTTTCCTTTCCCCTCTTTCCCCTCTTTCCCCTCCTCTTTCCCCTCTTTCCCCTCTTTCCCCTTTCCTTTCCCCTTTCCTGTCCTGTCTGAGGCAGGGTCTTTCCATGCAGCCCTGCTGTTCTGGAACTCTGTGTTGATGTGAGCCACTGCTCGTCTGGCATCCATTCTTGACACTGGTCTCATAGATCCCTGGGCAAAGGGCTAGAGATAAAGACAAGTGCCATCTGGGCGTGGTGGCACTCACCTTCCATCCCAGCACTTGGGAGGTGGAGTCAGAGGGTCTCTGAGTTTGAGGCTAGCCTGGTCTACATTGTGAGTTCTGGGACAGTCGGGACCCTGCCTCATACAAACAAAAAGCCCAGTAGAGACACAGCAAATAGAGGGGCTCCCTAGAGGGCCTGCAGAGCAGGTGACACTGCCTGGGGCTGGGGACGGTGTCGGGGAGCCCATTGCATAGTCCCTGAAAAGCAGGCGTGCGGAGCTCGGGCTGGCCCTGCCTTGTGTTTTCTGCTCTTGCGCTGGCCCAGCCCCCCGTCCCACCCCTCTGCTGCAGGTGATGGACGAGGCGGACCGGCTCCTGGAGCAGGGGTGCACCGACTTCACCGCAGACCTGGAGACAATCCTGGCCTCCGTTCCGGCACGCAGGCAAACGCTGCTGTTCAGTGCCACGCTGACCGACACCCTCAAGGAGCTGCAGGGCCTGGCCACCAACCAGCCCTTCTTCTGGGAGGCCCAGGCCCCGTGAGTTCCAAAGCTGTGGGTGAGGGTCGGACCAGAGGGTTCAGGCAGAAGGAGAAACTGAGGCTGTGCCGCTCTGCCCTCCACCGCCAGGGTGCGCACGGTGGAGCAGCTTGACCAGCACTACCTGCTGGTGCCGGAGAAGGTGAAGGACGCCTACCTGGTGCACTTGGTCCAGACCTTCCAAGACCAGCTGGAGGACTGCTCCATTATCATCTTCACCAGCACCTGCAGGTGAGTGAGAGGCCCCGCCACCTGGGCTAGAATTCCCGCGGGGCCAGCTTCCCCCATGGGAGGGTGAGCTGCCAGGCCTGGCCTGCTGGTGCACCCAGGAGGCAGGCAGATCTGTGAATTTGAGGCTAGCCTGGTCTATATAGGAAGTTCTAGGCCAGCCAGAGCTACATAGTGAGACCCTGACTCAAACCAAACCAGAGTCTCATAACAGCTGTTGGCTGTGCCAGAGGGCAGAGACAGGGTGGGGGTCTGTCCGCAGAAGAGGAGAGTTGGCTGTGGAGTGGCATGGCGGTCAGGCATGGCAGCGCCCAGGACTTGAGAGACTAGTCTGGAAGTCAGTACCAGGTCAGGGCCGGTCCTTGTTGGTTCAGGCTTTGAGAAGCACAGCATCATCAGCCTTTCTACAGCTCTAGGTCACTTGTGTGACGTCCTGGTGGCTTGGGCAGGACACCCACAACCACCCTTTCCCACCAGGACCTGCCAAATCCTTTGCATGATGCTTCGGAAGTTCAACTTCCCCGCGGTGTCGCTGCACTCCATGATGAAGCAGGTGATGGGCCGTGGCCACAGCCTCCAGCCTCACATGCCGCCGCTCAGGCTGGACACGGGGCGCACTTGGTAGAGTGCTTGCCCGGCATGGATGGGGCCCTGGGTTCCATCCTCAGCCATATAGACTGGGTAGTTTGTATGCCTGTTCTGTATATGTCTACCTGGATGCGTAGTTTATATGCCTGTTTGTGTGTGTGTGTGTGTGTGTGTGTGTGTGTGTGTGTGTGTGTGTGTACACACCCCTAGACACAGCACTCGGGAGGTGGGGCAGGAAGATCTGGAGGTCAAAGCCAGCCTACTCTGTCTTTTTTTTTTTGGTATTTTGAGACAAGGTCTCTCTATGTAGCCCTGTCTTGGAACTCTGTTTAGACTAGGCTGGCCTCAAACTCTCAGAGATCCTCCTGGTTCTGCAACTGCCTCCTCCCTGGTCTCTGCCCCATCCCCATCCCCCTCCGTCTGCTCACCAACTTTCCCCCACCTGTGGTACAGAAAGAGCGCTTTGCAGCCCTGGCCAAGTTCAAGTCCAGCGTCTACCGGATTCTTATTGCCACTGATGTGGCCTCGAGGTGAGTAGGCCCAGGGCAGGATGCTTTTCCTCCGGTGGCCTGAGCCACCATGAGACCAGGAAGCTGGACTTGGGCATGCGGATGGCCGAATGTCAGCTTTGGTCTCCCAGCATGGACTCCCCAGCTGAGTGCTCTGTTCCTCCAGGGGCCTGGACATCCCCACTGTGCAGGTGGTCATCAACCACAACACCCCTGGGCTCCCCAAGATCTACATCCACCGAGTTGGTCGAACAGCCCGTGCAGGTGAGCCGAGCCAGGTGTAGGAGGTTCCAGCTGCAGTGAGAGACCCCGGGGAGCTCAGGTCTTCAGAATCAAAGATTCAGTGGAGACGCCTTCCCAGTGCGCTCTTGGCCTGGCATCCACCCCCAGCCTGGCACCTCACTGGGGTGCTGACCCAGGAACCAGGGGGACATGTGCTTTGATACTCCCTCGTGCCTATAAGCAGGAGAGACAGGGTTGCTGGGATGGACGGGGCTGGCAGTCTGATCCTGTGGCTTTAGGGAATTCTGAGGGGCCCTGCCCTAAATAATAAGCACCGAGCGAGAAGCCTGTCTGCGGCTGCCGTGGGTCCCGTGGGTCATAGGCCCCGTCAGCCCATGGTGCTTCAGCTTGTTCACTCCCTGTCAAGGGCAGCAGAGCAGGGCTGAGCCCTGGCTTCCTGGCAGCCCAGCTGAAGAGGGAAAGCAGCGTGCTGCCCGCCCTCACAGAAGGCCGGCTTAGCAGAGCTGCCCCCCCCCACCCTCCAGCTCCCACACCCAGCCCTACCCTGGGTAGAGCCTGGTCCTCTGAGCTGAGCAGCTGAGATGAGCCACTGGTGGGCCCGGGTCCTAACAGTTGTGTCCCCACAGGGCGGCAGGGACGGGCCATCACACTGGTGACGCAGTATGACATCCACCTGCTGCATGCCATCGAGGAGCAGATCAGTAAGTGGGTAGGGTCCATGGGTGGGACCTGCGCAAGGCTGGGGGGTGGCTTTCCCTGCCTGGGTCATCCTAGGACTGCAGAGTGCTGCGTCCCTGGTGCCCAGCCACCACTACAGAGAAGCCACCAGCCCGGAGGGGCGTCTGGGGGGGGGGGCAGGACTTGAGCTGCGGCATGGCTTGTAGCCCGCCCCATCTTAAACAGCCCGAGACACCATCCGGACCCTGCAGCTCTTTCCTGAGCTTTCTCAGCTTAGCCACAGTGGTCCAGAAGTCCTGGGATCACAGGCACCTGGATCTCACCTCATTCACTCCTTCATTTATTCATTCATTTATTTGAGAGATCCTTGCTCTACAGAGCTGGCCTGGAACTCACAGTGATCCCCCTGCCTCTGCCTTCCCAGTGTTGTGATAACAGGCACAATTTTGCATTTTTTGAATGTCATCAGTCCACATATGGCTGGATGCAGACATCCAGAAGTGGGGCGCAGAGGGCCAGTGGCATTCAGCCCCACTCAGTGCTGCTGTCTGGGTCCCCCACCCGCTCCGCAGAGAAGCAGCTGGAGGAGCTGGCGGTGGAGGAGGCCGAGGTCCTGAACATCCTCACGCAGGTCAACGTGGTGCGCAGAGAATGCGAGATCGTGAGTGGCCTCGGCTGTGGGGTGTGGGGGGGGCTCCCCGCGGGCCTGTCCTGACCTGTGCTCTCTCCTGCTAGAAACTGGAGGCCTCGCACTTCGATGAAAAGAAGGAGATCAACAAGCGGAAGCAGCTGATTCTGGAGGGGAAGGTGGACCGGGGGTGGGGAGGGCTCGAGGGGTGGGGAGGGTCAGGCATGGGGGTGTGGCCAGGCGTGGGGGTGTGGCCAGGCGTGGGGGTGTGGCCAGAAGGGGGCGCTGGGCTTGGGGAGAGCTGCCCTGGGAAGCCTCCCTCCTCCTTTCTCAGCCGCTCCCTTCCTCAGGACCCGGACCTGGAGGCCAAGCGCAAGGCGGAGCTGGCCAAGATCAAGCAGCAGAACCGCCGCTTCAAGGAGAAGGTGGGGCAGACGCTTCGGCAGCGACAGAAAGCAGGGAGCGCCCGCCGCGGGGTGGGCCTCAGAGGACCTCAGTAAACACTCCGAACCTGTCAGTCTGACTTGAGAATGAGGCGGGATGGGTGCAGGCTGCGGGTCTCTGGTCCCCAAAGCCTCTGTTGCCCCACGGGGATGACCACTGAGCCCCTCCTCCACATCCCTGGGACGCGGGTGGCAGCAGCGCCACGCACTTGTACAGCCACGTAGAAATGCAATCTGGGTATCAGCGCCACCCATGGATTCTAGAAAACTCTACACAGTGCAAAGCTCAGCGGCAGCCCTGGACCCCTGCCAGGGCACCTTGGGGTCACAGACCCCCGGGGCCAACTAGGGTGCCGCCTCTGCCAGGCGCGCCAGCCCCTCGCGCAGCTCGCTCAGCTCGAACAGCCGCACGTCCAGCAGTTGTGCGGCCCGGCCCACCTCTGCCCGCGCGCGCTCGCGTTCCGCCCGCGCCTCCTCCAGGCTGCACTCCATTGCCCGCAGCTGCTGCTCCAGGTCGGCGTTCCGTGTTTCCAGATCCTACAGGGGAGGAAGGAGCGTGGGGCGGGGCAAACTAGGAGGCTTCTGGTTGCCCTTCCTGCTGGGTGTGGTCCACGGCTCCCACAGGCTGGGACACAACAGCAGTAAAGTGTCCTAAGTCTGAGGTGCCCAATGTGAGTTCAGAGCCCAGCAGCCACAGAAGAAGCAGCTAAGCATCCCAGTGCTTGGGAGACAGGATTCCCTGGAGCACACTGGCCCGCCGAAGCCTTTCCCAGCTGTTTCTAAGAGCAAGATGAAGGGCTGGGCGGATGATTCAGTGCTTAAGAGAATGAACTTCTCCAGAGGACCTGGGTTCGCTTCCAAGCACCCACATGGGGCGACTCAACCATATGTGACTCCTTGGGGATCCAACACCTCGGAGGGAATCTGCACGAGTGTAGCTAACCCACACCCACACAATTAAATGTTAAAACCTGGGCCGAGTGTGGTGGCGCACAGCTTTGATCCCAGCACTGGGAGGTAGAGGCAGGTGGATCTCTGTGAGTTACTGACCAGCTACAGCTAAAAACACAGCATCACAAACAAAAATACCCAGGTGAAAGTTTAATCACCAGTGCCCACATGGTAGGAGAGACCTGACTCCTAAAGTTGCCAACTCAGGAAAACCACCAAAGACATAGAAACGTTTTTAACAGGTGAGTAGTCCATAGCTAAAGGGATTGTAAAGCGCCTGGCTCTAACCTGAGGGGCCTGAATTCCAATCCCTCCACCCATGTAAGACCCGGTGTCCCACATACTGCTAGCTGCTGTAACCCCGAGGGCGGGAGAGCAAATCCCTGCTGCTCAGCCTCGGCACCCAGCCTAGACAATCTGAGCTTCACCCTCAGTGACAGATTGTCTCAAAGGATGGGGTGGGGCAAAATGGAAGACTGGCCCCAGCCTCTGGCTGCCTCACGTACATGAGCCCGCATCCACATGGGAGCACCTGTGTGCGCACACACCATAAACCCACGGTGGACGCACAGAACCACCTTCCTGCAGATCCTCTCACTGTCCCCCGGGGCAGGACACCAATTCTGGGGTGTCCTGACCTCTAGACCTTTGCACAAGCTGCACCCATCCCCAAGGACAGCAGTCATTTCCCCAACTTCCTCCTCAGGAATCTTGGGGACACTCACTCTTGGGTGAGGTCTCTGAGAGCTCCCTGGGGCCTCAGACTGCTCAGGTGTGGGAGGACTAGGTATGAGGCTAGTATGTGCTTTACAACTCTGGGTAGGCATTACCATCCTGCTCACAGGCAGATGGAACCCATTGTACCTCGGGCCCGGTCACATCCCACAGCCAACCTGAACCTTCTGCGCTGTCTCCTCCCGCTCAGTGGTGTCAGGAGCTTCTCGTGTCCCCAAGCTCTGATTCTTCAAAGTCTGGATCTCCTAGAGAGAGAGGGCCCTGGGTCTGCTCAGAGGGCCCGAGTCCCAGGAAGACGTGGGCAAGGGCAAGACCCTGGAGCTTGCCCCGGCTCACCTGGTCCTTGGTCTGCACCTGAGCCTCAAGTTGCTCCACGGACTGGCTGGTTGCCTCCTTCTCGCCCGCCGCCGCCGCCGGGACTGGCTCTGCAGCCGCCTGGGCCTCCAGCTCCGCCACCTGCACACACACAGCTCAGCGGTCCTGGGACATGAGGGCCTGATGACCCTGGGAGGCTCTTATGGTCTCACGTTTTTACACTAAGATGACTCTCTGGAGACCGACATGGGGCAGAAGGTGTGGGGGTCCTCACCCGCTGCCGCAGGCGCTCAGCCTCTGCACGCTGGGCCTCCAGCTGCTGCCTCCATTGCGCGGCGGCCGCGTTGGCCTCGCGAAGGGCCCCTGCCAGCCTCTGGTTGCTGTCCTGGAGTGCGAAGAACTCGGCCTCCCACTGGACCTCACCCACGGAGCTGCGGGGAAGACGCGGGGCCAGGGGTGTGCGTGGTCAGAGCGGGTGGCATTTGGTGCAGGGCCTCCTGGGCTGGGAGCAGGGTCAAAACAACGCTAAGCTGGGGAAGGGAGCCCATGGTACGTGGAGTAGGGAGCTGTGGCTCATGAGCTGAGACAGGAGGATCCTCTTAAGTTCGATGTCCGTCTAGGCTACATAAAGAGTTCCAGGCCAGAATGGGATACACAGCAAGAGCCTACTTCCAAAAATTTTTGGAAACCCATTCCTGCCTCCCCCAGATTGCCATCCAAGGCCTCATCCCACCACCCGTGCCCTTAATCCCAGTCACGACCCTGACCCCAGCAACACCAAGTCCCTTGCATCCCAAAGGTCCGTCCTGGGGATTCCCTGGCACACCCGTGCTGCCAGCCGTGCCCCTTAGTGCCAGTCAAGGCCCTGCCCCAGCAACACCAAGCCTGCCACCCTAAAGCTCAGTCGGTTACAATGCACCCCTTGGGCCCCAGCCACGCCCATCACCCCTCCCCGGAAGCCCCGCCCCTCACCCTTCTGACAGCATCTTCTTCAGCCGCTCCCGCTCCGTGGGGCCAGGGGCATCTGCACTCTGGCTGCGGAACAGCTTCTCCTCTCCCGGGCCGTTGGTGCTGACCAAGGGGCTCGGGGGAACCTGTGTATGGGAGCCAGGACTGGGTCACGGTGGGCGCTTGCCTCAGTCAAGGTCGCAGTGGGAGCTAAGGTTGATTGAGTGGAGGGCCGGGGTCACTGGGTGTTAGATCAGGGAGTCTGAACTGACCCGTGAAGCCCAGTGTGTGTCTCCCTCCTCACCCTCCATAGTTCCCTAGGCTCCTGGATGGGGAGCCCCCCTCCCCCAGTCTTCACTAAACCCTCAAGACCCGAACAACCTACAGAAACGGGGATCTGAACACTTCAACTGTTCTCCACTAACGGTTTCCCCCTGGGTGCAGAGGCGTCAAACATCACACTCAAAACAGGCATGGGCTGTGGAGATGGCTCAGTAGGTAAAGGAGCTGGTCACCAAGCCTGATGCCCTGCTGAAAGGACAGCACTGACTCCCACAAATTGTCCGTGGACCCCCACATGTGCATCCAGGCACATGCACATGTGTGCACACACATGCATAAATGTAGTAAAGCCATCAGCTAGCCTTACACACCAGCACAATGCCATGACCCTGACATGAGAAGCTTATTACAGCTGCCTCGGGAGTGTGGCAGGCATGGGGTCCAGTAGACAGGGAGTGCAGTCTTACCTGGTGGGAGGCAAGGGCCAGGGCGGAACTAGTGAATTCTCCACCATCTTGAGATTTCTCCCGAGCCAGCCTGGCAGCTTCCTTCACCTCCTGAAACTTCTCAGCAAACTGGAGGTGAGGCAGGGGGACAGTCAGGAGGCATCCTGTCCTGTCAGCCTGGAGCCCTCGGGGGAGGTTGTAAAAGGTTAACCCTGTGACCACACATGGAGGGGGTGTGGTGTACCACAGAGGTGACATTAAGGTTGTGAGCCACATGGAAAGGGACTCCCTGTTCCTGTCAGGCTGGCTTGGAATGGACAGCCGGAGGCTGGCGCCCATCTGTCCTTCACACTTGCCAGTATGACAGCACAGTGAGGGTGGGGGCCTCCTGTCACTCCTCCTAAATGGGTCACCTGACAACTAACACTGGTTCTGTGGCTGTGATAATGCATTTTCTTTTCACTTTAAAATACTTTCCATAGGGGCTGGAGAGATGGCTCAATGGTTAAGATCACTGGCTGTTCTTCCAGAGGACACAGCATTCAATTCCCAGCAAACACACGACAGCCCACAACTGTCTGTGACTCCAGTTGCAGGAGATCTGACAGCTTCACACAGACATGAATGCAAATAAAACACCAATGCACATAAAATTAAATTAATTTTCATGTATCAGAAATAATCTGTGCAGACCTGAGCAATGACTCGGCGTCTAGGAGGGAAGGCGTCTGTCACAGAGAAACTGCTACAGGCTCCACACTGCCTCAGGCAAGGAACTCACAACTGCTAACTCCAGGGGACCCAGTGCCCCCTGCTGGCCTCTTGGGGGCATCCACACACATGCATAAACACAAATACACATACATTCTTAAAAAATAAAAAGCCAGGCTGTGGTGGTGCACGCCTTTAATCCCAGCACTCAGAGGCAGAGGCAGGCGGATTTCTGTGAGCTCCAGGCCAGCCTGGTCTACAGAGTAAGTTCTAGGACAGCCAGGGCTACACAGAGACAGAGAAATCTGTCTCAAAAAGAAAAGATAATTAATTAATTAATTAATTATAAAAAGTTTGGTTTTTTTTGAGACAGGGTTTCTCTGTGTAGTTCTGGCTGTCCTGGATCTCACTCTATAGACCAGGCTGGCTTTGAACTCACAGAGTGCCATCTGGCTCTGCCTCCTGAGTACTGGGATTAAAGACGTGTGCTGCCACCACCACCCGGCAATTATAAAAAATACGAGGCTAGTGATCTGGCTCCCTAAGCTTGTTGTCAAGCCTGATGACCTAAGTTTGGTCTGAGGGCCATGCACAGCAGGAGGGAACTGACTCCCACCGGCTGCCCTTGATTTCCACAGCACACATGCACACACATACAGTCACACAACACAGAAATAATAAATACATGTAATAAAAAAAACCTTTAAAAGAAAACTTTGTTTTAATTTATTTTTATTACTTTTAATTATATGTACATATGTTTAAGTGCCCCCCAAAACTAGAGGCCTCAAATTACCCTCCATGGAGTTACAGAAGGTCATGAGCGGCCATGTGGGTGCTGAGTAAGAGCAGCCCATGCTCTTAACCACTGAGGCATCTCCCACCCCAATAACGTTTAAACTGCACTCTGTGGTGCATTTCTGTCATCTAAGCAAGTGAGAGGTGCCAGCAGGCAGATTAGGAGTTCAAGGTTAGCCTTAGCTATAATGTAGACCAGCTTTGTCTACTTAGCAAGTTCCAGACCAGCCAGGGTTACATACATATAGTGAGACCCTACTACCCACAAAAAATAAAAATAAAGGAAGAAAATAATTTTTTAAAAACATATTTATTTTATTTTATGTGTATCAGTGTTTTTCCTGCATGTATATCTGGGCACCACATGTGTGCCTGGTGCCCCGAAGGCCAACTATCAGATTCTCTGGAACTGGAGTTACAGATGGCTGTGGGCTGCCACGTGGCTGCTGCAAACTGGACCTGGGTCCTCTGCAAGGGCAGCCAGTGGTTTGAAACACAAAGCCATCTCTCCATGCCCAGAATTTTTTTTGTTTTAAACCAGGCTCCAGGACTAATCCTTACCACTAGGAAGGCTGAGGAAGGATTGCTGGAGACCAGAGAGCCGCTAAACAAAAAGCCCGGTGTGGTGGTACACAGCCCGGGGTGGCGGCACACAGCCCGGGGTGGCGGTACACAGCCCGGGGTGGCGGCACACAGCCCGGGGTGGCGGCACACAGCCCGGGGTGGCGGCACACAGCCCGGTGTGGCGGTACACAGCCCGGGGTGGCGGTACACAGCCCGGGGTGGCGGTACACAGCCCGGGGTGGCGGTACACAGCCCGGTGTGGTGTACACACCCATGATCCCAGCACTCTAGAGGCAGAAAGATGGCTGAGAGTTTAAAGACAGCTTGGGCTACAACGTGAGACTTTGCCTTAAAACTTAAAAAAAAAAAAAAAGTCTAGGCATGGTGGCAAACACCTTTAATCTCAGCTTTCGAGGCAGAGGCAGGTGGATCTCTGAGTTCAAGGCCAGCCTGGTCTACAGAGCGAGTTCCAGGACAGCCAGGGCTGTTGCATCTCAAAAAAAAAAAAAAAAAAAACAAAAAAAACAAAACACAAACAAAAAAATCAATGTGGTTCAATGACCGCAAAGGTGCTTGCTGCCAAGTCTGAAGATGGTTCCAGAACCTGCACAGTGGACAAAGGGAACTGATACCTGGTAATTTCCCTCTGCCCTCTGTAGGTGTGCCCACACATTCACACCCAACTGTAGGTGTACCCACACACATTCACACCCAACTGTAGGTGTACCCACACACATTCACACCCAACTGTAGGTGTGCCTACACACATTCACACCCAACTGTAGGTGTGCCCACACATTCACACCCAAAGCAAATAAAAAAGCAATAATTTGGGCTGGAGAGATGGCTCAATGGTTCAGAGCACTGGCTGCTCTTCCAGAGGTCCTGAGTTCAATTCCCAGCCATCACATGGTGGCTCCCAACCATCTGTAATGAGATCTGGTGCCCTCTTCTGGCCTGCAGATATGCATGCAGACAGAACACTGTATACATAATAAATAAATCTTTTTAAAAAAAAATAACTTTTTTCTTAAAAAAATTGAGGTGGGGCTGGGTGGTGGTGGTGGCGCACACCTTTAATCCCAGCACTCGGGAGGCAGAGACAGGCGCATCTCTGTGAGTTCGAGGCCAGCCTGGTCTACAGAGTGAGTTCCAGGACAGGCACCAAAACAACACAGAGAACCCTGTCTCGGAAAACAAAACAAAAAACCAAACAAAAATTGAGGGGGTTAAAGATGGCTCAGCAGTTAAGAGTGCTTCCAAAAGATGAGTTCAGTCCCCATCACCGGTATCGGGCGCCTCAACAACTTCCTGTAAGTCCAGCTCCAGGGAATCTAATGCCATCTTCTTACCTCTTGCAGGCACCGGCACACACAAATACACACAGACACATGAACAAAAATAAGTCTGGAAAAAGCAATGGACCCATGGCAGAACTGGAGAGAGGCGCTGCTGGGCGGGGTACCCAGTCCAGGCTTCCATTTGGCACAAGGAGTGTGCAAAGTTGGAGCAAGGTGGCAAAGGACCACACTACCCAGGGCACTCAAGGGGTCTTACTGTCTGTGAACCCACCCCAAGGACCGCAGATGCCGATCACTGCCCGTGCCCCTGCCCACCTGGGTCAGCTGCTGTTCCGAGGCAAAGCCGAGGCCATACACAGTGTTGGCACGACTGTCTGCCCACTGCCCGAACTTCTGAGAGGTCTTGGTGAAGGTCATGTTGGGGGTGACTGTGCTGTTGATGATAGCCTGGGGGTGGGGAGAGCAAGATTTAAGATCGGCAGGAATGACAATGATCACCATGAGCCCAGCAGTCCGTCAGGGTGCCAGCGTGCCAGCCTGAGGAGGAGTATTAAAGTTTAGGGCCAGCCTTAGACTACACCGTGGATTAAAAAATAATCCTAGGCACCTGTCTAGTAGTGGACCCCTACCCAGAACCCCCCGAGGCACGGCTTACGAGTGGAGCCCCTGCCTAGGATATCCCAGTGAGAGGCTAGTGTGGCGTTCTTGGCCCACTGAGGTCCCGTATCCCCATCTTGACAATAATGATGAAAGTCTGAACAGATTAGCTCCTCTCTGAGATCCCAGCCTAAGCTATTTCTGGAAGAAGCCAGGTCCCAGAGAGACTCACTGATCCCCATTTCACAAGTCACCCAGCATGGCCTGTGGCTTCACATCCTGGTGCCAACCTCTGCCCCCAGGTCCCCGCCCAGACCTTGGCACCCCCGATGCTGATGATGCGGTACACATTTCGGGTGGCATCGTAGAAGTAGGACACCGTAAGCGCGTGCTTGCCGGCTGGGATCCAGTTCCTCTTGGTGGTGGGGTCGATCTGGAACACGTGCGCACGGGTGCTGAAGATGGGCTGTTCCCTGCAGGGCGGACAGAAGCTCTGCAGGAGGCCGGCCACCCGAGGGCTGGACCTGACCAGAGTGGGCGGGCGCTCACCTGGCTGTGGACATTGGTCAGGCTGGGCGGGGTGGCCTCTAAGGGGTACCCAGAGAGGTGACAGGAACCACTCGTTTGGTCTCTGGGGAGAGAAAGGGCTTGAGAGCAAGGATCCAGGGGTGCTCAAGCCAAGTGGGTCATCCAGGCGACTTCCTCCACAAGAGCAGCTAGGAGGGAAGGGACAGCAGCACCTGCAGCCACACCCGTCCCCGCCCAGGCCGGCCTTGAAATCACTGTGTAGCCAAGAATGAACTTGAACTCCTGATCCTCTGGCTGCTGCTTCCCAAGTGCTGGGGTGACAGGCTGGCACCATCATACTCAGTTCACATGGTGCTGGGGTGGAGCTCAGAGCTCCCTGTGTGCCAGGAGAGCCCTCTACCAAGGAGCTGGACCCCGGCCCACAGACCCTGCTCTTCCATTTGAGGAGAAGCCCCCACACCTGGGGTCTCTAGGGCTCTAGTGTCATCAGAGAGGTGACAGAGCGCTACCAAACTGCCTGGGTAGGAGACAGCTCCACGAACAGCCAAGTGGTCCTTGGCATGCCAAAGTCACACTCACACTCCAGGTTACCAGCCACGGAAAGTGTCCTCCCACACGAACTGGGCAAGAGGCCAACGTCAAGGGAGTGGGGCACCTCGTTCACCCTCCCACCCAGCAGCCCCGCAGAAGGCCTTGCATCCAAAAGTGGGACAAAGCTGGGTCAGTGGTGAGAGCCAGGGCCCCATCTACTCAGAAGGCCAAGGCCGTTAGATCGTGCATCCCAGGAGTTCAAGGCCACCTGGGGTGTCTTCGCCAGATCCCCATGTCAGAGAATAAAAGTGGAATGTTTCCTGGGCCTAACAGGGAACTCAGGACTCTGCTCCTGCGAAAGGACCAAGGACCGCTTAGCACACACCCCGAGGACAGGGAACTCAGGACCTCTCTGCTCCCACAAAAGGACCGCTGAGCACACACCCCGAGGGCAAGGCTACACCTTGGAGTCCAAGTCGAGTCTCCAGGGAGCCCTCGCCTATTTAAAAGGACAAAACGAGGAGCTGGAGAGATAGCTCAGTGGTTAAGAGCACTGGCTGCTCTTCCTGAGGTCCCGAGTTCAATTCCCAGCAACCACATGCTCACAACCATCTATCATGGGATCTGATTCCCTCTTCTGGTGTCCCTGAAGACAGGCCACTCATATATGTTAAATAAACTATGTTTTATAAAAAGGACAAAACGAAAGTATGGCATGGTGGCACATGCCTGTCATCCCAGCACTGGGGAGGATGAGGCCAGATTGTTGAGACTTTGAGGCCAAACTGGGCTACAGAATGGGACCTTAACACGCACACGAGTGTGCACGCGCGCGCGTGTGCACACACACACACACACACACACACACACACACACACACACAAGCACGCACACACGCACGCGCACCCCCACAGTTGACAAGCGGCTCATCCCAGTTCCCAGTTCCCACCATGTGAGCAGAGAACAAGACTTGGAGAAGGGGACTCCCCAGCCTCCTGTGGGTGCCTGTACCCATCACCCGGGAGTTTTGGGTACCCTCCTGAATCCCCACATCTGCATCCGGAGGGACTGGAGGAGGGTACTGCGGATGCGGGAGAACAGGACCAGGCTCCTGAGGTCAGCCCCCCCCCCCCCATGCTGTCCTGGGCAGCTGCTGTCGCGGTCATCGGGTCTGAAACCGGAGCCCCCACGCGGGGGAGGGGCGACTCCACTCGAGTCGGGGACGCGATTAGGACTGGCGGAGATCGGGGAAAAGGGGTCCCCGAACCCAGGCCCTTCCGGTCCGGCCTCTCCTGCCCGGACTTGCTGAGATCGGGAAAAGTTACTCACCAAGTAGTCACGCGCCTCGGAGCGGCGGCGCAGGGCAGGGGCTCACGATCGCGCGCGGCGGGGCTCCTTCCAGAAGCCCCGCACCCGAATCCCACTTGGGACAGGTCCCCACCCGCGCCGGGACAGCCCGTGCGCCCCAACTCCGGGAGCCGCCGATCAGCAACTTTCCAAGCAGCGGAGCCTCGCGATTCGGCACCTCCAACACCCGGACCCGGGGCTGGGGGACCCAGTGCAGCTGCGCTCCGCGCCCCAGGACCCCAGCCCTCACCCCAGGACCCCAGCCCTCAGCCTGCAACCCACAGCACCCCGCCCCGGCCGCACAGTCTGCAACTTTGGAAACCGTCTGTGCCCCCCAAAGCCCCCAGCGCCCCGATCGCGTCTCGGGAGCTGGGGTCCCCTCTCCCGGCTC